CCCCGCGGTGCCTCGGCGGCCGGCAGGCCGGCCAGGCCGACACCCCGGGCCCATGGGACCAGTTTCTGGTAGTGTCTGTTGTCATCAGTTTCCACGTGATTGCCAGGGAAATTTCCTGCCCACTCCCCACTACCGTATTACTTTCTTCACGAGCCTTCCTCAAGTCCCTGCTGTATGCTGCCCGTAACAGCACCTGTCACTGCGTGTCTCGTGTATATTTCTTATGTGTGTATGTAACTTCTTTAGCGTACCTGGCGCGTCCTCATTGATTAATGAGTACTAGATGAGTGGTTGGATTTGGGTTACTATTGGGAGAATTTTAGATTATTTAATTTGGGAGGGGTTCCTATGTGTATTTTCTGCTTCTGTAATAATCATGTATTTTCTACTGGGTTCTTTTTTAAGTAGGAGTACTTATCATTGGGAAGGTTCATTACATAGCACTATGCCGTATAGACTGGATGGCTCAAGCCAGGGCTTGCCATCTTTCTGTAAAGAACTAGATATTAAATATTTCAGGCTTTGCTGGCCACAGTTGTTGCAGGAAAGCATCCATACACATGGAATACAATCAAATGAACATAGCTGTGTTCTAATAAAACTTTATTTACAAAGACAGCTGCATGACCTGATTTGGTCCATGGGTGTAGTTTGCCCAACCCATGATCTAACCAAATAGACCTAGGGACTGTACTGGTAATCCAGTCCGGAGCTAGACAGTGCCACATTGTTTTCGTATTGCATTTTTACAGATGAGAGATTTATGGATCACCTAACTAGATCTAGATCTGCATCTAGACTGCCTGGCTTTGAATCCTGCCATTCCCTGAATACTAACAGTGTGACAGTGGGCAAATTAACTTCCCTTTGCATCAGTTTTTTTAAAAATCTGTAAAATGGGGAGATAATAGTACCCCCCACAAAGTATTGTTGTGTAGAGTAAATTAAAGCACATAAAATGTTAGCAGTGCTTGTACCCATAGTAAAAGCTCAATAAATCTTCTATTAATATTTTGAAAAGTGTTCCTCAGAGGCACTTAAAGACAGATCTGAGAGATATGTCTAAGGTACAATTTACAGGCTTAGTGTGTGTTTAGCTATAAAACAAAGAATATCTAGTTTCAAGACAAGAGCCATTCTCAAAGAGGTGATAGGAAAGTCGTGAAGTGACTTCCGGGGTGGGGGAGGCAGGAGGTGCAGGGTTCAGGACTCTGCTTTTGAGGAGGTGCTCACAGGAGAGGGAGTGAAGCAAGTGAAGACATGGAAGAGGAGACGGGGTCAGCTCTAGAGTGTGACAGGAACCGGGATGGTGCAGTAGCATGTGAGCGAACAGGAGGGCGCGTGGTGGCGGTCCCCACTGTCAGCTGCTGCAGAGAGCTGAAGAACACTTGGGTTGCTAATATTCCTGAGTTCAGCCCGCAGAACTGATGTGGCACCTCCTGTGGGCCAGGTGCTGGCGATGCGGAAGAGAATGACATCCCCTGCAGTCCAACAGCAGGAAATCCAGACGGGGCAGAAGACAGGGAGATAATTTAATACGTGCAGCAGCTTTAACAATAACCGGCAGTAGGATGCACTTGTTTAGATATAAGTGGTACCTTTAAAAATTTAAATGGATTTACAGTTCGTGAACGTGTGCCGCTTCATTGAGCTCCTTTCCTTTCCTTCCTAGACAATGGCCAAAAACAAAGTAAGAGGGCCGAAGGCCAGGAATGTGTTTCACATAGCCAGCCAGAAAAGCTTCAAGGTTAAGAGTAAAGCAAAACCGGTAACCACTAAGCTCAGGAAGGTGAGTATTAATTAGTTAAACACTCCGACTTTATATCTTACAAGCGAAGCATGTGGTAAAGCTACTGAAAAACCGAATGCCGTTATTTAAAACGAGTTTGTAGCCTTTCCTGCAAGGGCAAGAGGGTTTTAAACATTTGTTTTAAAAACTGGTGAAAAATCACAACCCTTTCTCGAATCCAAGTGTATGAAAAGAAAAATTAACTGCAAACGTGTGAGGCTCTTCACAGTGTAATAGCTTTATCAGAGCATAGAAATCATAAAAACACGATATGGGGACCACTCCCTATCTCTGAGCTCAGATCTATTCAAGAACCTCTTAACTGAGTCCGCACCCGTTTTTATCCTCAGTAATTCTTAGTTCTCTGAAAATGTGCGACTCAGAAACCTGTAAAGTGAAGATAAAACGCTTTTTCTTAAAATGCAGAATTTGAAAAGAAAGGAGTTTATCTTTTTGGTTTTTATTGCAGAATGTTTGGGAAATGGGAAATTTCTTCATTTAGATTAATTCTTCAAGAAAATGTTTTTAAGATTATGTAGTAGGTGGAGTCAGCTCTCCAGGGCTTAGTATCATCATCATAGTCCACAGAAAAGTAACATTTTTCAGTTTTCATGAACTAGCTAAGTTTTTGATCGAGTAGTTTTATGACTTTGGAAATGCTTTAAAGGAAATAAAGCTGGGTGCTACGATGAGGGGTCGGGGCTGACAGTCCTACACAGAACTGCCTTCCGAGTTGACATCGGAGCCAGAGCTGAATGATAAGGTGCCGGTGACGCACAGAGCTGGGAAGCTCCAGGCAGTGGCGAGTGCGAGGCCCCAGGCGGGGAAGGCGCGTGCGCGGAGGCGGCTAGTCCATTAGACAGAGGGCTAGAAGCTTCCCGCACACGACTGGAAACTATGAGAGGCGGTCTGTGGACGGCAGCGTGGTGGCAGCGCTCTCAGACAGTGACGGCTGACGGGGAGGGCGCAGGGGGCCGGGCAGTGTACACGGTGACCGGAAGTTCAAGGTCATGGACGTGAGGTGAAGCCGGTCCGCCAGTTAGGATTCCTGCAGCTTGTTTCAGGCTCGGGAAAGGCTGATCGTTGAGTCTGACTCAGGGAGGGAAGGAAGGGTAGAGTCGTGGGCTCTGATGTGAAGGTGTGGAAGGTCTGGGAAGTAGTGGCTTGGAGGTCGCAGTGAGGTTTAAGTGTGAGTGAGCTGGGGAAGGGGTGGGAGGGGGCTGCAGTGACAGGCGAGGGAGGCCTGAGGCCATTCCGAGGCCATAGGATTAGAGTCCCTGCAGTGACTCCAGGCACGAGAGGTCCGTGAGCTGAGGTTTGAGAGAACTCCTGAAGGAGCAGGTGGTCACGGGGTCGGCAGGCGGTGACAGCCATGAGGAACGGGGTCAGCACCACCACCCCGCGGGGGCGGCCGGGTGGCGGGCCTCAGAGGTGGCCGGGGACCCTCATTGAGGCAGGGCGAGGAAGAGCCCAGAGACGCAGTTAGAGGACACTGGCGGCATCTGATCGGGCCGCGTTTGGCACGTGCGGTGACAGCACTGTCGCCTGGAACGCCTGCCGCGCACGCCTGGGCCTGCTCGCCTAGCAAAGTCCCGGTGAGGGCAGCACCACCCAACTCTTATCTTTAAAAACCAGAGCTTTTGCCTAAGTTGCCCAGTAGGGCTGTAAGTTTTAGTGTGAATCAGCCCCACAAATTAGTATGTTTAAGTATTTTTAGGTTTAATAAGGTTAAATTAAGGTTGAATGTATTTTATCTTTAATGGCTGTGAGATCATGGATTAATGTTTTTTTCGTTTTGTTTTGTTTTTAAAGATAAACATTGTGAATGCCGAAAAAGTTAACAGAGTGAATAAGGCTTTTATAGATATACAAAAGGAGCTTGCAAACTTCTCAAAAGGCCTTTCCCTTGAACCTCCGCAGAAACAGCTGGTGAGTGGAAACCGCTTCCTTTCGTCCTGGCCAGTAAGAGAAACAGCACAGTATGGGAGCCGCCACGTGCGCGTGGCCTGGGTCCTTGGCGCCCGCTGTGCTTGACTGTGTGGTGTGGACAGCACACGCAGTCACATGCAGACGTGAAAACAGTCTAAATATGAGAATTTACTGTTCGGTCTCCCAAGGTATGACTAGTGAAGTTGACTTGGGTAATAGGTGATGTGTGTCATTTTTGTCCACCGTCATGATCTAACTTTTCCGACACTATAATGCTGCTCTCTCTCCAGGTTCCTCAGCAGAGTCATGAAGACAAACCAGTTAATGTGGACGAAGCTACACGATTAATGGCTCAACTGTAACACACTGGTGATGCATCCGATTCCCCCCAGCGACCAAGAAATTCAATGTTTTATACAGTTTTATTTTTAAAAATCTGGTTAATGTACAGGAATTGGCACATTTTAGAAACAAACTACACAAACAGATCTTTCCTCCGGGCCAGGAAAGTGGAATGTCAGAAGTCAACCGAATGTGAGGAGCTTAAAGTGCTAACACAGAAGGCACTTCGCAGACCGCTCGCTGGAAGGTGACACAGCCTCGTCTCCCTCCTTCACTTTGAAGTGGCAGTGAACGTCCTCTGGATTGGAGGACACAGAATTCTGGACAGTTTTGTGGCAGTAAAAACATAAGACAAGTGACGAGTCCTTGGCCAATGCTTTTGTTTTTGATGACCTTAAGTCTACTTTAATTTTCCTCTCGTAAGGGGAAAAATCAGAAAGATTCGGAGTCGGAAGGGAAGTCGGAAGCCGGAAGGCAGTTAGCTGAGGGTGGGGTGGGTACTACGTCACTTCCCCCCGAAGCTGTAGAGCCCTTTGCTTTTGTGGTTGAAGTTTTGTGAAGTAAAAAGGAGTGTTAGAGAAGAACACTTCAGAATCAGTGAACTAGAAGGCATTACATTCATTATTTTAAATACTTAGGTTATTAAGAAGTCTAAGACGTTACACAGGCGGAGGTAGATAACAGTCCCAGGTTCCCTTGGAATCTAATAATTTAGTATCTGGACATCGAACAGGTCACAGACTCCTTCGTTCTCATCTAAGTTGAAGCTGTAGTCGTCGGCCGGGGTTGGGGAGAGCCGCAGGAGAGGGAACACTGCAAGCGAAACAGACTCAGCATCAGCGGCGGCTTCCGCCTCCAGGTAATGATGCTTCTCGAAAAACGCCCTAGATACACCCATCCAGTTAAACTGCTTCCCGCGCTATTCAAGAAATTAAGTAGACAATAGGAAAAGTAATAACGAAATTAATGACTCGAGGTCAGTGTGCATTTTAAGGTTCTCGTTTAAAGACAGTTTATGTATCGATTACAGATATTGGCTTTAGAAATAGGGGTTAAAATTTTTACTGGTTGAACTTGTCACTGAAATATGTGATTGAGAACTTTGGGTCAGAGTATGTGATCTGGTAATAAGCTAATACTCTGAAAAGAGTAGGGAGCAGACTCCGGCTAATACACCTGTCCATGTTCTCTGCTGCTCAGAGGTCTGAGTGGTCACTGCACCGTGTGCTAATTTAAAGCTGCCACCTGCCAGGTCAGGAGCCAGGGCCCTGCATCCTGGAACTTGCAGAAAGGCAAGGCCAGGAGAGTTTTCGCTAAGGTAACTGCAGTACTGTAGCTATGGATTCTGAAGTGGGTCAGGTTAGGTGATGACTTGGCTGATGTGGGTCACGGCACGGTGACCTCAGCACGGGGTAAGTCACAGCCGGGTTTGCGCATCGCCTGTTCACTGGGATACGTCACTGCACTCTTGTGGGCCAGATTTTCAGGAGTGAAAAGGGCAACTGCCCACTGAGGAGTTTATTCGGTGCAGGTGCGTGTCCTTTACGGAGTCTGCCCTCAATGCGGGCAAAGGAAAATGCTGACGGGTGACTAGGATTTACTATAAAGTATTATTAAAGGGCACTTTTCATGAATGGTCGTAGTACAGTACATTAAGCAGTTAAAAAACACAAGGGCTTCATTTTTTTAGAATCATGCAGCACTTATACATCAGTAATGCTTTTCTAGAACTAATAAGTAGGTCGTAAAGTTCTAAACCACTCACCGTCAGAAGACATTAACTCGTCAATGATGTCTGCACTCACAGACCCGGCTGGGGACAGAAACGTGACATGTGTTACAGGTCTGTCTCTGCTTCAGCAGCACAGGGTGGCTGTTTAAACGGCACACAGCGAACAGCAGTGGCCGAATGGCAGTGTGGCTCACAGCACTGGACCTCGGGGGAGAGTTCCACGAGCACCCGCTCCGCTAGGCGCGGCTTCTGAGCCTCAAACCCAAGGGGGCGACCGAGCCGCACCGCTGCCCAGAATGACCGCCACGCCTGACACCTCGACATCACCTGCCGTTCCTCCTATGCCCTTCATCCCCAGGTCTCAACGTGAAGTGCTACTGACTTGGCCTGAACAGCATTTCTCACGTATTCTCTTTCTAACCCCGTTCACCCCTGGCTTTGGCCTTGATCTTCCTGGGCTGTGTAGTGCAGGCTCCACGCCCCCTGCCTTCCGCTTCCCAGGCCCCGTCTCCCAGCCCTGCCCGCGCCACGGCCCTGTCACGGTTCTCACCGACTGTCTGCTCAGTCCTACCTTGGTCACGCCCCCTGAGCTGGCCCCAAGTCACCTTTATGTCTCCAGATACGAGACCACACACTCTAACTGCTCAGGCTGTGGCCGGTGGGAGCCGGTGGCCGTGTGGGTCTGGGCCAAACCGCGCAGAGCTGCCCCTCGGTCTGCCCAGTGAGGGAGACCGGAGCCGGGCCACGTGCGGGTGCGCCTTCGCCCCCGGCCCAGACCCCAGTTTCTAGACTTTTAGCTATTTCACCATTAGGGGTGGCAGTTTCCTGAATTGGAGTGGAGACTATTTACCAACTCTCTACAACGGCACTGTCCAAATAAAAAGCAGGCAGCGAGGGCCAGGCAGAGAGGGGCACGCGTCACTGCACGCCACCCGCAGGTGACTGGCCTTCGAATCTGCCCTGGAGTTTCTAAGAGGCAACCTTACGAAGGAAACCGCGGACGACAGGCTGATGGGCAGGTAGCGAAGGGGCAAAGGAGCGAACGTGGCTCAGTGAGCAGCGGAAAGACAGGGTGTTTGTAAATTCCCCTCACGAACCCTGCCCCAGTGCCGGGCACACACTGACACAGGTTGATTAAACCAAGGGACCGTTTTTGCCTCCTGCCTCAGCTGACAGTCACGTCACAACCAACGAATTCAGAGAAGCCCCGCGACTTGTCCATTCTGTTCTCACCCCTCCCGGACGGCTGTCAAACGAGGCTCTGGACCCACCTGAGGGCAGGTCTGTGGCCACTGTCTGCTGGAGGCTCTGGCTCCTCTCGCAGGCGGGCGGCCCGGGCGGGCTCGGCGTGGCCGCGTGGGGCTTCTGTGGCGGCGTGGGGGTCGGGGTC